CCGTGGCGGGTGATGCGGATACTATCAGATTTCAAAAACGGGTATTTTTGGTATTCAGGTCGGGTAATTGCCCTGAACATTCGGGAGAATCTTGGGATGCCCAATTCTGCAAGTCCCGGGTGGAGCTCGCTAGTCTGCCCGGAGGGTGTCCCATTCTACAACGACCCCGTGACAGCTCGCTAGTCTGCCCGGGGATGTCCCCTTCCACAACGACCCCGGGGCAGCTCACTAGTCTGCTCGGGGGTGTCCCCTTCTACAACGACCCCCGGGCAGCTCGCTAGTCTGCCCGGGGGATGTCCCCTTCTACAACGACCCCGGGGCAGCTCGCTAGTCTGCCCGGGGGGGAGGGGTGGCCTGTTTCTACAACGACCCCGGGGCAGCTCGCTAGTCTGCCCGGGGGTGTCCCCTTCTACAACGACCCCGGGGCAGCTCGCTAGTCTGCCTGGGGGTATCCCCTTCTACAACGACCCCGAGGCAGCTCGCTAGTCTGCCCGGGGGTGTCCTCTCCTACAACGGCCTCGGGGCAGCTCGCTAGTCTGCCCGGGGACGTCACTTTCTACAACGGCCTCGGGGCAGCTGTCTGGTCTGCCGAGGACGTACTGGAGCTGGCTGCCGCCAGGACGCCGGTATAGCGCAGGCGTCATTCCGGAGGCTTAGAATGCTGATGCCGGCGCGCGCTGAGAGCTCTCCCCTTTTTGCTGGTCGGCTATCTATGACCTGATTACCTATAGTCTCGTGGTCACTGTTTTAACCCCTTGCAAAGTTTTTAGGTAACATTCATGGTCGTTATCATTGCCACGTGTAGCACAGGGGCTAAGGTACACGTAACAGTAGCTGCGGCCTCTGTTTTCAGTTGCTTAACAACCAATGGGTTTCCATGTTTTTTAAGGGGCGGCGCTAAAATAATAACAATAATAACAATAATACAATAATAACAATAATAATTAACAACAACAATAATAAAAGAAAAAGTAGCTCGCTAGTCTGCCCGGGGAAGCCGTTTCTCATGGCCTCGGGTGCTGCCCGGGATGATCCATTCTTCCACCTTCTACAACGGACATGGGGCGGCTCGCTTGTCTACCCGTAGGTAGCTGCCACTAGGACGCTCGGTAGCGCGGGTGTCCTTACGGCGGCTTAGAGCGCTGATTCCTGGAGCGAGCTGAGAGCCCTCCCTTTTTTTTTGCTGGGCGGCTGTCAACGACCTCCGTTGATACTGTTCTAATCCCTTCAAAAGTTCTGGGAAAATTAATGGTCGCGCTGACAGGCATGTGCATAGGGTTAAAGGTAAAGGAAAATACAGCTTCTGTTGTCAGATGCCTCAGAACTCATGGATGGTTGTTTTTTTTTTCGGCGGGTATATCTAGGGCCTTTAGTTGGTGGAGGCTATCATTGCAGTAGTGGCTAATGCTACTGGTTGTTCGTCCTGCTGTAAGGGCTTCGGTATAAATGCCGTAATATTGTTCTTCATTGGTGACCGCTATATCGCTCACATCCATGTTGGCAGGTTTTAGGGATCGTGGCGTGTCTGGTAAGCTTCGGGCCAGGTTGAGGAAATAATTACCTTCCTTCAACCAAGCACGTATTTGGGTGGGTTCCGCCACTGGTCTCGACACTGGCGGCGACTATAGGTCTTTTGTGTTAATTTGTATCCCCCATTCGGTATGCTGGTCTCGGGAAGGGGTTGTTTTATTTTGGCGCATTGGTGTCTGGGTGGATGTATTGAATGGGTGGGGACACCATTGCGCCGCGCGGGGGGAGGGGTGGCGGCCCGTTGGCAGGGCAGTCTCGGTTGAGACATGTATACTTGCTATAGTATGTTTGTGTCGTGTTCATTTGGGCTGAATATACCAATAGCCCCTTTTTGTACAGCTACAGTGTTTTCCTGGAGGGAGTTGGTTGTGAGGTTTGCGCTGAGATTGGTTACGCATAGCATAGCTAATTGTCTCTATGTTTGCTGGCAGCTCGAAGGGGAAGAGGAAAATACGCCCGGTTATATATGACAAGATAATAACCGGTTTTTCCGCGACACTACGAGCGTCTTCTCTGGGGCGGCCCCGGAGCCGGGCCGGCCTCTGCGAGCAGCGTTCGGCGGCAGGCGGGCGGCCGCCTGCGCCCCCGGGCGGCAAGGCCGCTAAGGCGGCGGCCTCCTCTGATTGGTGGAGCGACTCGTGTCACGTGACGTTGACGGCGCGGGGTTTGAGTGCATTTGCGCGGTCACTCTTTTCTAAGCCGCCCGGTCCGACGCAAGTCAGCAGTGTTCTCGCTCTGAAATGTTTTTGCGTTTCCCACCCACCCACCACCATTTTTGCGGTTTTTTTTTTTTACACGCACCACACTCTTAAATAAAGATGGGTTTTTCCACAAAATGTGGTTTTTTTCCCCAACTAGGTCCCCCGTTTTTTTTCTAGTTAGGACTTTTTCCGGGGGAGGACACACACGACAGGGTTTCTAGTGTGGGTGGGGACACCATTGCGCCGCGCGGGGGGAGGGGTGGCGGCCCGTTGGCAGGGCAGTCTCGGTTGAGACATGTATACTTGCTATAGTATGTTTGTGTCGTGTTCATTTGGGCTGAATATACCAATAGCCCCTTTTTGTACAGCTACAGTGTTTTCCTGGAGGGAGTTGGTTGTGAGGTTTGCGCTGAGATTGGTTACGCATAGCATAGCTAATTGTCTCTATGTTTGCTGGCAGCTCGAAGGGGAAGAGGAAAATGTATTTATGTTTAGGAGTTCGGGGATGTATCTCTTAGGTATACCTATTCATTTGTTTTACGCAAAGTGGTATTTCGATTGCCCATGAATTTGCAAATGCTTTGTAATTGGTTTCATACGTTTCCCCAGTGACCGTCTTCACGCTGTATGGCGTGTCGTGTTCCGATCGGCCCAAATTAGTCTGCCGACTCATTGACTGGGCGGAGATAGAGTCGGACTGAGTCACCGCCGTGCAGTCGGCCTCTGGAACGGAGCTCCTCGTCGGCCAGTGCCAACCGCCGAGCTAATGGGGCCCCGACAGCCCCCTCCGACCGGGCCGTAAAACAAGGCGGGCTGTGCAGTGACAGCAGCGCTGTGCTGCTAGACGCCTCCAAATACTGGAACTATCGGCGCGTTGACGGTCTTGTTACTCTGTTTTATCGCTGTTCGGTAGTCGGACGCGCCCGACGGCAGTCTGCTCCGTGGCGTCATCATGCCGTCATTGCGGCGTCATCGGAGCGTCATTGGGTCCCCCTGTGACGCAGTGCTTCGCTCGCACGTGCGTCGGCGGCGCGCTCTGGCCGGCCTCGGTCGGTGTCAGGTGCCCCCGTCCCGCAGCGGCCCGGGCGGCAGCCGTCGGTGACTCAGTCGGCCCGGCCCGGCAGCCAGCCGGCTGTGTCATCTGGAAGCTAACCCGGTTTCCGCTAAGAATAGCGCTGCTCCAGCGGCGGCGGGACGGAGACGTACCCCGGGAGCCGGTGGGACCGCTGGCCGACGCCACTGCGGAGAGAGACGGGTGTCGGCGGTCCACCTGTTAGCGGCCGGTGGGCGCCGCGCGGGGCGGCTGTCCGGGGGAAGACGGAGTCCGCCTCCGAGCTATATCGGGGTGGGCCCCATGTGTTACCGGGCCATCCAACTCGACGGCTGTGGAATGCCGGGCCCTGGGCATTAGGGACAGATGTTTTCGCAGCGTCTGTATAAACGGCAGCAGCCTCTTCAAAGCTGGGTCAAACGCCCTGCTCTATTGCACACATTCGCTTGGGTTGCATGTAAAGCAGGGAATGCGTCAATTGTATGTCATGCACAGGCGCGTACCAAAGAACGATAGGCATGGTTGATGAACCTGGACGCTGCAGTGACGCACTGCTTCTATCAGACCTACACCGAACAGTGATTGGCTCGCCGACTGACCCGGACCGAACAGTGACTGACTCACCGACAGACCCGTACCGAACAGTGACTGACTCGTTAACAGACTCGTACCGATCAGTGACTGACTCACCGACAGACCCGTACCGAACAGTGACCGACTCACCGACAGACCCGTACCGAACAGTGACTGACTCACCGACAGACCCGTACCGAACAGTGACTGACTCACGGGCAGACCCAGACCGAACAGTGACTGACTCGTTAACAGACTCGTACCGAACAGTGACTGACTCACCGACAGACCCGTACCGAACAGTGACTGACTCGCCGACAGACCCGTACCGAACAGTGACTGACTCACCGACAGACCCGGACCGAACAGTGACTGACTGCGACTGACAGACCCTTACCGAGCAGTGACTGGGCGGCGCTGGTCGCCTCTGACGGACCGGGATCTGAGCATAGCGTCCCGCCGCACAAATGATGCCGTATTTTGGCAGTCGAGTCGGTGACGGGCAGTCTGCTGTCACGGCCGTGCCGGCGCGCTGGCAGCTGTCACCCCACGAGCCGATACGACTGACGAGCAGGCCGCGGCGGGACAACAGCGACCAGTCCCTCCGTCACGGGGAAATTCGACGGCAATGACCTATTCCTTCTTATTGAACTTTAATGACACATTCTCACTTGATAATATTACCACTTAATACGCGTGAGATTATTTCATTTGTTGAAGATTTGAGTTAAACGTACGGCTTCACTTGCCCGGCTCAGGTATTTAATAACTTCCAGTTTAGATTTGAGTTACGCATCCATGCAGTTTAAAGTCACAGTAAATGCACCTTTCAGCACGTTTTCTGATGAACGCCGTCCCGTTTACGTTTAATCGCCGGACTGACCGCAGTGTCGGTCTGATTTGCTTTGTAGGTATTGGTGCTCTCCCTTCTCTGTTTCCATTGAGTATCTATCTGACCCCCGTGTCTCTCGTCTGCTCTGTGTTGGTGTCCTCCCCGTTCATCTGGTTCCATCACTACCATTTTAGTGAACATACAATTGTTGTCCCACTGATCCCCCGTGTCTCTGGTTTGCTCTCTGCTGTTGGTATCCCTGCTCCGTTTCCACTGAATTACCGTTTGCTGACGGCCGTGTCTCCGGTTTCAGTCACGGACCAGTCGGGTGGCCAGCACAGCACCATGCCGTAAGTATAGATCGGTGGTTGTCCGTTCTACCCGTGTCCCCGTCACCGCCGTGTGACCCTCCGTCGGTCAAATCGCTGCTCATGACCGTCCGTTGTAATCGAGGCTCCTCTGTCACCCCTCTGTGCGTTTGGAGGCAGTCGGACTGTGCATCAGACCAGTGCTGCTATTTTGTCATGCATGTGTCAACTCTGTAACTTAAATGTAAACCCATAGCTGATTCGCTTGATAGTTGCTACTCGATCGGCTTGCGACTTCATTATCATTTCGTAAGTTTATGTTGACTATTTTAAAGATCGGAAGCTCGTCTTAACCACTATCCCTGTGAAGCGTATCGAAGCTGTGGTCAGAGCCAAGATTAGGTACTTTACTAATAGTCAGAGCCGTCTGTCGAAAGCAGCACTTCATGTGTGCTAAAGACTAAGAGTGTAGACTAGAGGTGGCAAAATGTGGACCCGAGGACCCGGTCCAAAGAACCAGTCTGGACCCATATGGGTCCAGACCGGTTCCTGGAAATTTTCTGACGAGTCCAACCGGGTCCTACCATAAACTGTACATCTTGCACACTACACATTATCGCAAAATATGAAGTGAATGAAGTGAATATTTCTTGGCACACAGTACTCATGAATATTCCCAGTGGGAAATACGCTGCTTTACATGATGCAACTAATGATACCTACAAGTAGTTTGTATTAATCGACTTTTGGGGAATCGGGTCCAACTGGTTCCGATTCCAACTAAGGCCGGGTCCGACTGGTTCCAGAAATGTCCAGCCGGGTCTGGTTCGAGTCTGGTTCCCAAAATTTTCATCTTTTGCCACCTCTAGTGTAGACTACAACCAGAAGTGTTGGTGACAAATCGTTAAAAAGGCCTGTTTATTAGCTAATGTGGTAGGGAAGCCGAGCGTGATAAGAGGCGATGTTAGCCAGAGTTGCGCGTAAGAAATGTTTAATCCGCTGCAGCGGATTAAACATTTCTTACGCGCATAGGTACTCTGGCTAACATCGCCTCTTATCACGCTCGGCTTCCCTACCACATTAGCTAATAAACAGGCCTTTTTAACGATTTGTCACCAACACTTCTGGTTGAAGTGGTATACTCATTGCTCTATTACCTACTCTAGAGGCAAATTAGGGCACTTGACATGTTTACTCTAGGTTTTTTGCTGCATAGAATAACTTCTAAGTTGCTACTTTTCCTAGTTTGGGAACTTCTTAGCATTGGTTTATAGGCATTTTCCAATCAGTTGGGGTATGGAGACTTGCCTAATGCCTATTCTATTGATACTGGCATCCGCTCCTGTCAGAAATTGACAATTATCAACATTTGATTACATGTAACGGTCATTTCTTTTTTCAGGGCCGGCGGCCCCGCGTCTCCGCCAGTGTTTGAGCAGATCTTCAAGAATGCCCGTTTCGCCCAGGGAGGCAATGCTCTGTTCGAGGGCCGGGTGCGGGGCAACCCTAAGCCCAAGATCTCATGGACGCGCCAGGGCAGACCCATTCAGGGTAAGTACGCGACCCCTCCCCCCCCCCCCACACACACACACCAACCAATTAGCAAATATTGAGTCTCCGAAGTCACGGGTCAATGAGATAGATGAAACACCCATCATTCCAGCGTGGCCATCCCCCAACGGCCGGCCGGCTCGGTCCGCCGTGCTGCACCGGCCGGGCCGGCTATCGGCCTCCGGCCCACAGCTGGACGGTATGCTGTGCCGCATTACACGCCGGCCGTGCGGCACAGCCTACCCAGCCAGTGGTAGGATCGGCGGCGCGCCGCGCCGGTCCCCGCCGTCCCGTACGGGCGCGCCGAGCCGTCTGGCAGCGAGGCCGGTACGAGTGGAAATTTAATGAGGGTGCCGTGTATGACACGCCGAGTTAACGACTGACAACCAGCACTGGCACTGAGAGCGGTGCGAACTAGCGATATTTTGGTAGCTTGCAGAGGGTCACTTATGACGTCATAAGTCAGTGATCTGACCTGACCCGAAAATGCCGTTGGGCCACAAGATACGGCTTGGATTAAAGTTCAGTTATTCTAACCTCACCTCTTTTTTTCGACATGTCCTGAGCAATAAGAAAAGAAACATCTAGTCGGATACCATCTCTTCCAGCCTGCCTTTCCCGGCAGCCCCTCGATCTGCGGCACTGACTGATGTCGGTCTGTCGTGTGGCCGGCGGCGTCTGACAGCGGACCCGGTGGCCGGCGCCGACTGAGGGGTGAACCCTCCCCTATCCGCCGTCTGCCAGCCGGGCCTCTGACCCGCCGTAAACAAAACACCTGTGGAGCGCGCCCGGTGTCTGGATAGCGGGCGGCCGGGCGGCCGGCTGATGCCGGGCCGCGGCTCCTAACATGGCTGCCGGCGGCGGCCGCTGGAAGACGATACCAGGCCGGCAGGCCGATCACCGGGGCCGGCTCGGCGGTGCCTCTGTTGTTGTTGACAGGCACAGGGGACCAGTCAGTCCGGCTATTTCGGCGGTGGGAACAGCTGACGTGGCGCCCGGCTCCAGCCGAGTGTGTCATAGAGAACCGCAGCACTCGGCCGCTTAAATCAATAGAGACGTGTTTTTCGCGGTATTTATCGCCCCTCGGTGTCTAGAACAGCAACATAGCTTATTGATGTGACTGGTGGTATCACCCATCAACTCTGGAACATGCATAACACATTGACTCAGGATGTCACATTAACTTGCAATGTCTTAGCAATAACAGACAGAGGCCCAGGCTAACACATCTTGCTAACATCCGCACTTGGAGGGGTGAGTGTTTTTTTTTTTTACCACACAAAGTTTCTTTTCATCATCTGATAACTTTTGTTCTCAGGGTGGGTCATAATGTCAAGTTCAGTAGCCCTGCGTCTATAAGCTTTCGGATTGTATCAATACGACGGCCTATTTTCTAGAAGTGTCTGATTTTGTGCATTGTGGTGTCCCCACTCCCCACTGTGCCAGAATTCATATTGCTTGGATTTTCATGTGTCTGTGACCAGGGCCCAATCTTACCAAATGCCGTGAACGCGTATTCACGGCATTTGTTAACATTCAAAACTATTCAACATTCATTTATTCATTCGTTCGGGCAACATTGATAATCATTTACGCTATCAAAATCATTGGACAAGATGAGCTGGATGTAAATAAAAAGGATATCTTTGATATCAGTGCCGTAAACTGTGGCCAGTGTTCTCCAATGTCATACCGGGAATCCATAAAACCCAATCGTCTTCGTCGTCATATAAACCCCAATCGGCCGTGGCGGTGTGTCCTATTTAGCTGTGTCCGGGTGTCCGCAGCGTCCAACAAGTACCAGCTGAGACACAATCAGCAGACGGGCGAGGTCAGCCTGCTCATCAGCCGCATCGGGCCCGGCGACGAGGGCGAGTACACGTGCATGGCCACCAACCAGTACGGAGAGGCCGTCTGCACCGTCTACATTCAGCCCGAGGGTGAGTGAGAGGACGGGGGGGGGGGCTTCTGTACCGTCTACATTCAGCCCGAGGGTGAGTGAGAGGACGGGGGGGGCTTCTGTACCGTCTACATTCAGCCCGAGGGTGAGGAGAGGACGGGACAACCGTCCGAGGGGGGGGCTTCTGTACCGTCTACTTTCAGCCCGAGGGTGAGTGAGAGGACGGGGGGCTTCTGTACCGTCTACATTCAGCCCGAGGGTGAGTGAGAGGACGGGGGGCTTCTGTACCGTCTACATTCAGCCCGAGGGTGAGTGAGAGGACGGGACGCCGTCCGAGGGGGGGGGGGGCTTCTGTACCGTCTACATTCAGCCCGAGGGTGAGTGAGAGGACGGGGGGCTTCTGTACCGTCTACATTCAGCCCGAGGGTGAGTGAGAGGACGGGGGGCTTCTGTACCGTCTACATTCAGCCCGAGGGTGAGTGAGAGGACGGGGGGCTTCTGTACCGTCTACATTCAGCCCGAGGGTGAGTGAGAGGACGGGGGGCTTCTGTACCGTCTACATTCAGCCCGAGGGTGAGTGAGAGGACGGGACACCGTCCGAGGGGGGGGGGGGGCTTCTGTACCGTCTACATTCAGCCCGAGGGTGAGTGAGAGGACGGGACACCGTCCGAGGGGGGGGGGGGGGGTTCTGTACCGTCTACATTCAGCCCGATGGTGAGTGAGAGGACGGGGGGCTTCTGTACCGTCTACATTCAGCCCGAGGGTGAGTGAGAGGACGGGACACCGTCCGAGGGGGGAGGGGCTTCTGTACCGTCTACATTCAGCCCGAGGGTGAGTGAGCCGTGAGCAGAGGGGATGGGGCGGGGTGCATCTGCATTGTCCAACCCCGGCACAGGAACGTCAACGCGAATAATGTTTTGCAGAGCGATGCAAGTACGATAAAAAATGACCTGTTCGGTGTCTGGATAGATTAATACTAAATCATCAGTAGGTTTGTTCTGCGACAAGTTGTACGCACGGCCGTTGACCATTTATATAGGAGTGCGATAAGTAGAACGAGTGCTCGATTCAGTGGCTGGGACGTTTTGTTGGGCGTGGCGATAGTTAGGTACTAACGTCACGTCGTATCACACCTTCACATGTGTCGTTTCCTCCGGCAGCCGCCTTCCTCCAGCAGCAGCAGCAGACCACCCAGCAGCAGCAGCAGATGGTCTCTCAGCAGCAGCAGCAGCAGCAGCAGCAGCAGCAGCGGGGCGGCGTGCAGCGGCGCATGGTCGGCGGCCAGCAGCACATGATGCAGATGCGCACAGAGACCACCTACGAGACGGACTCGTCGGGCCACACGACCACCAGCACGCGCACGGACCGCCAGTACCACACCACGCCCTTCAGCTCCTCCGTCGAGGTCAGTCGTGTGTGAAAGGTGGAGTCTGCTAGAGGGAGGGACGATCAACCATGATGTTTCGCTACTTTGTTATGACGGTACATGAAAGGATCTGTCTTCATTATGCTTTCAAACATCACTGTTTATAATATAACCGCCTGTGAGGCGTTGGACAAAAATACTTCTTTCCGTATTTATTTAGAACGTTTTTTTCATTACTTTCATTTTTAGTCTCGATGGTTCGTTGATAAGTAGCGCACGGCTGTTGTCCCACCCGTGGCGCTGTCGTCCCTCTGCCCCTCTGCTGTCCCGGCTCTGTCTGTGTCATCCCGCTGACCCGCCCATCCCGCTGTGACCCGCCGTTCGGCCGCAGGAGTTCCGCGTGGACACGTTCGAGTACCGGCTGATCCGCGAGTCCGAGTTCCGCGAGGCGCTGACTCGCCGCCAGCCCGGCGAGCCGGAGGTGGTGGTGTCGGCGCGCCGGCCCGGCCCGCTCAGCCCGCCGCAGCTGCAGGGCAAGCCGCGCGCCAGCAAGGTGCAGGAGGGCGGCTCGGCCACCTTCCAGGCGCGGCTGGCCGGCAACCCGCCGCCGCGCATCACCTGGTTCAAGGACGGCGCGCGCGTGCGGCCCGGCGCGCGCGCCACCATCTCTGAGCAGGACTCTGTGGTGTCGCTGCACCTGCAGCAGGTGCAGCCGCAGGACACGGGCCACTACACGATGCTGGCCGAGAACCAGGCCGGCTGCGTGGTGAGCTCGGCCTACCTGGCCGTGGAGCCGACCACGCCGCAATACGGCCAGCACCAGGTCACCCAGCGCACCGACCACAGGTCAGTCACCGGATGTACAGGGAGGGGAGGGTAGGGGTCACCCAGCGCACCGACCACAGGTCAGTCACCGGATACAGGGAGGGGAGGGTAGGGGGTCACCCAGCGCACCGACCACAGTTCAGTCACCGGATACAGGGAGGGGAGGGTAGGGGGTCACCCAGCGCACCGACCACAGGTCAGGCACCGGATACAGGGAGGGGAGGGTAGGGGGTCACCCAGCGCACCGACCACAGATCAGTCATCGGATACAGGTAGGGGAGGGTAGGGGTCACCCAGCGCACCGACCACAGGTCAGTCACCGGATATACAGGGAGGGGAGGGTAGGGGTCACCCAGCGCACCGACCACAGGTCAGTCACCGGATACAGGGAGGGGAGGGTAGGGGGTCACCCAGCGCACCGACCACAGTTCAGTCACCGGATACAGGGAGGGGAGGGTAGGGGGTCACCCAGCGCACCGACCACAGGTCAGGCACCGGATACAGGGAGGGGAGGGTAGGGGGTCACCCAGCGCACCGACCACAGATCAGTCACCGGATACAGGTAGGGGAGGGTAGGGGTCACCCAGCGCACCGACCACAGGTCAGTCACCGGATATACAGGGAGGGGAGGTAGGGGTCACCCAGCGCACCGACCACAGGTCAGTCACTGGATATCAGGAGGGAGGTAGGGGTTCACCCAGCGCACCGACCACAGGTCAGTCACTGGATATACAGGGAGGGAAGTGTCACTCAGAGCGCCGACCACAGGTCAGTCACCAGCTTCACGGGGGGGAGAGAGAGAGAGAGAGAGAGAGAGAGAGAGAGAGAGAGAGAGAGAGAGAGAGAGAGAGAGAGAGAGAGAGAGAGAGAGAGAGAGAGAGAGAGAGAGAGAAGAGAGAGAGAGAGAGAGAGAGGAGAGAGAGAGAGAGAGAGAGAGAGAGAGAGAGAGATAGAGAGAGAGAGAGAGAGAGAGAGAGAGAGAGGAGAGAGAGAGAGAGAGAGAGAGAGAGAGAGAAGAGAGAGAGAGAGAGAGAGGAGAGAGAGAGGAGAGAGGAGAGAG